AAAAGAAAAAATGCTGATGGAAGGGATCAGGGAAGAAAGAAATGGTTATCTTATTTTGTGTACAATTTAAATCTAAATTTTGCCAAATATTATTTGGGTGATTTCACAGGAAAACATCTTATTTTTAATTTCATTAAGTTCATTCTCTTTAAGGGTAATAACTCGGAAGCCACTGTTTGCTGGTTATTATATACATATATATTATATTTGGAGTTGTTAACTGCTTAGAACAAGGCCTAGTTGGGATCTTGCGGCAACTGGGCTATCTCGAAGAGTTAGTGATACTCTACTAGTGCATATTATGTCACTTTATCTTTCAATTTGACCCGTTTTACTTGCCTTAGGTTAGTATTTTTCAGATTTTTTATCATGGATGAAGCACAAATTAATCAAATCTGCATTATTGCTCTCACCCTTTACACATATTATTAATTCAAATAAAAAATTTGCAAATAAGCTGTTTACAAAATGCACGAACCAAACAACTCAACAGCTTATCCAGAACAGGGGCAGATTGATCATTTTTCTAGAATCAGCTGTTCTCAAAACGCACTAACCAAACAATCAGACAGATTATCTGGATCAGCTGTCCATCAGCAAATTATCAGGATAAGCTGCTTATCAGCAGAAGCTGGATAAGTTGCAGCTGCCCCAAACAGACCCTAAGTTGCCACAAACAGTTTTACCAGATAAGAGTAGGAAGGTCATTTATACAGCTATAACTACCAAGAAGCTATTCTGAATAAGCTACCACAAACAGTAAGCCGGCTTATTCCAATAATCTGCGATTATCGGAATAATCTGTTTATCAGCAGATTATAAATAATCAACAACTGCCCCAAACAGACCCTTAGTTGAGGTTAAATCCATTAATGGCGTTACAGTATATTTGACATTTTATTTAAGGAACTTAGGAATCATTTCCTTCTCAAAAATTTAGATTGGCCATTTATATATGTTGTTAACCAAATAGTCGGATTTAAAAAATTCAGATTTACGCCCAACAATGGACAGAAAGAAGAGAGATGAATTTAACTGAGCTCATGCTTTTCCCTTCTTTTGCGTTTAGCTAGCTTTACAATAAATCCAACCATAAACCCTATTAAAAGCAAGCAAGATCAAGGTTTAACAATCATCACTAATACCCCTCATTAAATAGTAAGCAAATGATTCTAAAGATGAGATAGATATACTATTGATCAAATTCATTTTTTTTCTCCAGAGCTCAAGTAGATATAGTGCTATTAAGCATGTTGAGCTTACCCTAGTTTTAGAGGATGGAAGATTTCATTCATAAATCATACATTGGGACATGAGGGATAAAAAAAAAAAAACTTTGATAAGAATATTAGAAAAGGATAAACAAAGATTGATAATAATAATACACTTGATTGATATTTTTATTGAGATTAGTATTTTTCAGATTTTTTATCATGGATGAAGCACAAATTAATCAAATCTGCATTATTGCTCTCACCCTTTACACATATTATTAATTCAAATAAAAAATTTGCAAATAAGCTGTTTACAAAATGCACGAACCAAACAACTCAACAGTTTATCCAGAACAGGGGCAGATTGATCATTTTTCTAGAATCACTTGTTCTCAAAACGCACTAACCAAACAATCAGACAGATTATCTGGATCAACTGCCCATCAGCAATTATCTGGATCAGCTGTCCATCAGCAAATTATCAGGATAAGCTGCTTATCAGCAGAAGCTGGATAAGTTGCAGCTGCCCCAAACAGCCCCTAAGTTGCCACAAACAGTTTTACCAGATAAGAGTAGGAAGGTCATTTATACAGCTATAACTACCAAGAAGCTATTCTGAATAAGCTACCACAAACAGTAAGCCAGCTTATTCCCATAATCTGCGATTATCGGAATAATCTGTTTATCAGCAGATTATAAATAATCAACAACTGCCCCAAACAGACCCTTAGTTGAGGTTAAATCCATTAATGGCGTTACAGTATATTTGACATTTTATTTAAGGAACTTAGGAATCATTTCCTTCTCAAAAATTTAGATTGGCCATTTATATATGTTGTTAAGCAAATAGTCGGATTTAAAAAATTCAGATTTACGCCCAACAATGGACAGAAAGAAGAGAGATGAATTTAACTGAGCTCATGCTTTTCCCTTCTTTTGCGTTTAGCTAGCTTTACAATAAATCCAACCATAAACCCTATTAAAAGCAAGCAAGAGCAAGGCTTAACAATCATCACCAATACCCCTCATTAAACAGTAAGCAAATGATTCTAAAGATGAGATAGACATCCTATTGATCAAATTCACTTTTTTATCTCCAGAGCTCAAGTATATAAAGTGCTATTAAGCATGTTGTGCTTACCCTAGTTTTAGAGGATGGAAGATTTCATTCATAAATCATACATTAGGACATGAGGGATAACAAAAAAAACTTTGATAAGAATATTAGAAAAGGATAAACAAAGAAGAAGAAGAAGAATAATAATACACTTGATTGATATTTTTATTGAGATTACTAACATTACACGCGACCTCTATTTCCTTCTTTGAAAATCAAACCGAAAATGAAAGCATGAATTTTTTAGAGAAGTCCGAGCTATCTAAAAATGTTAGATAGGTTTATAAAACAATAATCTATGAGCATTAATCATATGATGAATGTTCATTAATCAATATATAAATCAGAGACGATACCATAGGAGGCCGGTAAGGTTGGCAACATATTATTTTTTTTATTTAGCAATTTAGAAAAAGAAGGGCATCACACATTTTTTTTATTTTTATTGTAGTTATATTTTGACTTAAAATAAATTATATTCAATTATTTTTAGAAACATTCAAAACACCTAAAAATTATATTAAATACTTTAAAAAGATATGTTTATCTAATTTTAAAACTAAAAAATAAAAATACATTAAATAAAAAAAAAAAACCACTAGCTTTACTTGTTTTTCCGTTTTCCACATACTTTTCCTGACAGAAAAATAACTAGCAAATGATAACATTTTATTTAATTTAAAAACAAATGTGTGATCATAGATGTCACAGCATAAATCCATTCAACTGAAACTCAATACATTTGTGAAGACCAAGGTCTTGTGTGAAATTAATTTTATTATCTTTTTTACATTCTCATATATTTTTAAAAACATGTTTGTTTACGCCATATATCAATTATGTCTTTTAAATTTTCTTCCATTTCTTTCTTTTATTTTTAAAAACATATTTTTACTACATTATTTACATATTTTAATTTTTTTTATCTTTAATATTGAATTAACATATTTTTGAAAAAAAAAATCAAAATTTTTTTTAAATATTTTAAATAGTGTAAAAAAGAATCATAAATTAATCAAACAAGACGAGATATTTTATTTAAAATCAAAATATTAAAAATAAAAGTGATGCAAAAGACCTCTTAGCCAGTAGCATATTACATTATCAACAATAGACTCCGGGTCTGTTTGGGCCAGCTGCAGCTTATTGAATAATGTGCTGATTAAAAATAATCTATTGATAAGCTGTGCGGTGGCTATTAGAAATTTTTATTTTTTTGGAAAAAACAGACCGCTGACACCAGACCGCTGACAGAAAGCTGTCACCGCACCTAGATATTTGTGGTGTAAAAACGCTGCTTTCAACGTTTTCAAAACGCATAATCTATCAAAACGCAGTTTACCCAAACAATCAAGATGCATTTTCAAAACGCAACCACACCAAATAAATAGCCCCAAACGGACCCTCAGCCAACATTTCAATGTAGCCTAACATGCCCTCGATTTACGATGAGCTTTCCAGCTAAATTTTCGCCAGTCGGAATATATAAAATGCCAATCCACTTTACAATGAACAATTGACATGTCATATTGTGATGAGCCACACATTGCCAAATACATATTAAATTTAAATAAGCGAAAAAAAAAAGAAAAATTCCCTTACATGCACATGACAAACATTGCCAAATACATTAAATTTAAATGAGCGAAAAAAAAAGAAAAATTCCCTTACATGCACATGACAACACCTAATTTTATTGATTGTTGAAACGCCTCATTTCAATCAACATTTTAATTAATCTTAAATGAAAAGTAATTCAATATAAAAGAATTGTTTGAAACCAATGCATTTTATCGAATGTGGGACATTGTATTTATATGGGAAATGCTTAAAACACATAACAGTAAAACCAAAATTTGCATTGCTGTAAATCAACAGCAATTATAATGATTTCTTGTATATATTGTAACTTTACAGTTTTTTCATATATTTAGGGCTGTCAAAACGGCTCGTTATTCGCGAACAACTCGTGTTCGGCTCGTTAAGAAGCTCGTGTTCGGCTCGTTAATTTTGTTCG